GCACAGGACAGAGCAGAGTTTAGAGCTGTTGTGCATAGGGTCTCTATGAGTCGCAAGCGACTCAACAGCACATAACAACAAAGAGACAAACTGTGGATTATGATGATGTTGTTGTTAAGTGCTGTGGAGTCACAGGAGACTCATAGTGACCCTATGAAGGAGAGACTTCAACCCTTGGGTGTCTCTCATCCTCTCTCCAGGTTCGTAGGCAAGCTATTATGGAAGTGGATGCCACTCCTGATACTAAGCTTGTTTTAATCGGGGAGCTCTACCCCACTCTCTGTCTGCATTGGGAAACCAACCATTAACTCATATGACACATCAGTGTCACGGAGTTCAGCCTCACAGCAACCACAAGTGACCGCTGTGTGGCAAGTGGACACACCAGGGCTGTACGACCTAGAGGAATGTCTCAACAAAAACAGTGAAAGACAGGCCCGAGGGCTGGGGGTTAAAAGTCACCCACCTTTGGCTTGGTAGCATCGCTTTCTGTCCACTGGGGATTATAATGATATTGGGGTTAAATTTTGGCTCTAACACTAATTGTGTGACCTTAGGTAAGTCACAAAACCTCTCATTTTCAGTTCTTCTTTAAAATAAATTAATAATATCGTCCTCTTAAGAATTCTGGGAAGATGACATAAAATCAATCATATATGAAGTTTTTCATAATGCCTGGCACTTAGTAATGATTATTGTTGTCGTTGTTATGTAAAATTGAATTAACTATGACTCATAGTGACCCTATGCACAATAGCACTAACCCCAGCTCTATTCTGAATCTATCTCACTGTCTTTGACACTACCCTCATACCCAAGTTACTGTGTCGATCCATTGCAATTGAGGTGTTCTTAATATACCCTTTCTCGACAGACATATATGTTTAGACGCACACATACACACAAAATCAAAAGGAAATATTATTTACCCGTGCAACAAAGTACTTCCGTGACACATAAGACTTGTGGTAAGGATTGGGGTAGAGTGTTGATTCAGTCACACTTAGCTGTCTTGAAATCTTTGTTGGTGTGCAGTCCTTGCCTGAGTCCACCTCCTCTGTAGACAGATGATCCATCTCGGAGGATTGGTCATCTCCTTCTGACTTCAGTGATACGGGCTGGAAACCTTCAAAACTTCCAATTGTTGACATTTCTTCAGCCTATCAAAGCAAAGGAACCAATGTCTTACTAAAAAAAAAAAAAAGAAACAAAACCAAATCTGTGTTCCAACTTTTGAAAAACAGGTTAAAATGTTATTAAATAAGCAATGTCCATGAAAGCAACAAACTTGCACAAAATAGAAGCCCTCATAAATGCACCTTCATAACATAGTTTCCTAAATATCAACTATGGTTTGCATGGCAATTTATTAGGGGGTGGAATGGGGAACAAGAAGCAGAGACACTTTGGAGACAGAAAAAGACTACAAGTCATTCCATTTCTCAACCTCAATCAGAAGACAGGAAGTTGAATTGGGAGAGGAACTTGAGATATTTATCAGACAATTTCTTCCAAGAATTCTGAGCCTTTTTGGTTGAAAACAAATCAGGCTACAGGTACACTTAAGGTTAGGAATCCATAAAGATGCATCTTCTCACTTATTTCTTGGGTTTATCTAGCATGAAGAGAGGACACAAAAAGATCTGAAACTGAGCATCTAATAATAGTCTAATTCTAAAAATATAACCCGAAGAAATGAGTTAGAAAAATGGTCAAATAATTTAGATAAATGTGTGTGCATGCATACACACATACACATGTATATTTTTTTCATCATCTTTTATCTAATGGTATTAGATGCTTTCTAGTTGACTATGACTCATAGTGACCCTATGAACAGCATATCCTTACAATCTATTATACACTTGAATTCATTTTTAGACTCACTGCATAGCTCAGTTTTGCTGAAAACTTTTCTCTCTTTTTCTGACTCTCCACTTTCCCCAACATGTCATTTTTCAAAGGACTGGTCCTTCCTAACAATATGTTCAAAGTATGTCAATTGAGGGTTGGTTGGGTTTTTTTTCTCTATCTTTGTCTCTAAGGAACATTCTGGTTACGCTTTTCCCAAGACATATTTGTTTGTTCTTTTGGCAGTCTATGAAATGTTCAAAACTCTTCTGCAAAACTACAACTCAAAGGTATCAATTATTTTACTATCATATTTATTCATCATCCAACTTTCATATGTATAGCAACTAACTGATCAACTAATTGGCTTGGATCAGGTGCACCTCAGTCTTTAAACTAACATTGTTGTTCACATTTTCTCTATGCAATACATCTTTTGATTCCTTGACTATTGGTACCAAAGGTGTTGATTGTGGATCCAAACAAATGAAACTGTTGACAATTTCAGTTTTTTCTCAATCTATGATGATGTTGTTTATTGGCCCAGACATGAACAATTTTATTTTCTTCATGTTGAGATTTAATCCATGTTGAAGTTTTTTATGTTCTGAAGCAAGTGGATTTTGTTGTTGTTGTTTTTAATTTTTTCTGATTTATTTACAAAGTTTGACTACATTATTTTTCACAAAAGATTCTTCTCATTTCCTTCACCCCATCAAATTGTGCAACCCTATGATTAACACCCTCCCCTCCCCATCCACACCCTTCTATTTCCACACACGCCCCCCCCACCATGGATCCTCATGGATACTCATTCTACAATAACGGTTTTATAAGTATTTGTCCTTTTGGGACTGAGTCAGTTCACTCACCATAATGTTCCCCAGTCCCTTCCAAGTTAGGTCATAATTTATTAAATCATTGCTCCCGCATGCTGTATAGTAATCTATTGTATGAATGTCCCACAAATTCTCAATCCATTCTTTTGTGGTTGAACATCTGTGCTGTTTCCATGTTCTTGTGACGGCAAATAAATGCTGCTATGAACATTGGTGTACAAGTTTCCATTTGAGCCTCAGTTCTCATTTTATTGGGGTATATTGCAAGCAGTGGAATAGCTGGGTCATATGGAATTTCTATGTTCAGCTTTTTGAGGAATCGCCAAACTGCCTTCCAGAGTGGTTGTACCATTGTAGAATACCACCACCAATGTGAAGAGTTCCTATCTCACCACATCCTCTCCAACATTTTTTACTTGATTTTTTTTTTTAATTTAGCCACTGCTACTTGAGTGAGATGGTATCTCATTGTGGTTTTAATTTGCTTCTCTCTTATTGAAGTAATTTGTAGCATTTCTTCATATGTCTGTTTGCATTTGAATATCTTCCTCCACATCTCACATCACACACAAAATTCACCTCAAGGTAGATTAGAGACTTGGGGGTAAAGCCCAAAACCATAAAGTTCATAAGAGACAAACTGGGATCAAACTTAGAAGTTCTAGTCTACAGTATAAGGAGACTGCCAAATATAGCCAGATATATATAATCTGAAGAGGATAAAATTGATGAATGGGACCTTCTAAAGATAAAACCCTGTGTTCATCAAAACTTTTTTTTCCCAGCAGGGTGAAAAGAAAACCTACTGACTGAGAACAAACAGTTGGCAATACCATCTCAGACAAGAGTCCCATAATGAAAGTTCATAGCATTCTCCTGGGTCTCCACAAGAAAAAATACTGACAACCCAATTACAAATGAACAAAAGACATGAACACTAAGCAAGTATTTTAAGTCCTCCTCACTTTCAGCAAGCAAAATTGTGTCATCTGCCTAACGCAGTTTGTTATGAGTCTTTTTCCCCATCCTAATGTCACATTCTACATCACAAATTACCAATTTCCAAATTATCTGCTCAGCATACAGATTGAATAGGTATGGCAGAAGGAAACAGCTCTGATACACTTCTTTCTTGATTTTAAATCATTCAGTGTTCCCTTGCACTGTTAAGATAATAGCTTTTTGGTCTGGGTATAGGTTTTCTATTAGCACAATTGAATGTTCTGGGATGTCTATTATTCTCAATGTTAGCAATAATTTTTTGGGGATCCACAGTCAAATGCCTTTGTATAGTGAATAAAACACAAAAAAAACCCCATCATCTTTGCATTCTCTCCTTTGAGTAAAGATCCATCTGAGATCAGCAATTACACTGCTGCTGCTGCCATAGCCTCTTCTAAATTCAGCTTGAACTTCTGTAGTTCTCTGTCAGTGTACAGTTCTAGCCTTTAAAAAATAATCTTCAGCAAGATTTTGCTTGCATGAGGTATTAAACTATTTGGTAATTTCTGCATTCTGTTGGATCATCTCTTTTGGGAATGGGAACATTTATTAATCTCTTGTCATTTATTCCAATCAACTGGCCACGTGCCTGTCTTCCAGGGTTCTTGGCATAGCCTGGTGGGCACATCCTGGTCTGCATCTGTTTGTTGAAACTTTTCAACTGATATTCCATCAAACTTTGGTGCCCTAGAGATAAAGAGCTACACTGTCCATCCAAAGGTATGTGGTTCAAATTCACCAGCTGCTCCAAGGGAGAAAGATCACAATCTCCTCCTATGAGATTTATGGCCTCTGAAAACCCACTGGAGGATTAGTTATGAATTGGTTCTGATTCAATGGCATACAACAGCACTGTCCTACAGGATCCCTATTAACATTGTTCTTTTACAAATGGACAAATAAAATATTAAATAAGATACAAGTAATATTCTTAAATCAAATTACAAGTAGTAAAACACAAGATAGTCATCAAAAAGATATTAATTAAAAATATGAATATAAAGTTTATCTTGAAAGTATGTCAGGTGAAGCTTCAGAATCCTTACCTACAAGGAGCAGCCTGATTTCATCCTCTCAAGGGCAAATTTGTTTGTTCTCCTAGTAGTCCATAGTATATTCAATACTCTTCCCCAGCACCACACCTCAAAGGCATCAACTCTCCTTCTATCATCTCTAGTTATTTTCCAGCTCTCTGATGCATAGCAAGCAATTGCTAAGACTGTAGCCTATATCAGGTGCACCTTAGTCTCAAGAGTGACACCATTGCTCTTCAGTACTTTGGAGAGGTCTCTGACAGCCAACTTTCCTGATGCCTTTTTATTTCCTGGCTGCTGGTACCAAGAATGTTGATTGTAGAGTCAAGCAAACTAAAGCTGTTAACAATCTCAATCTTTTCATCATCTATCATGATGCTGCCAATTGGCCGAGTGGTGAGAATCTTTGTTTTCTTGATGTTGATCTTCAATCCATATTGAAGGCTGCAGTCCTTGACCTTCTGCAGCACACATTTCAGGTGCTTCTCAGTTTCAGCAAGTTAGGTTATGTCACCTGCATAATGTAGATTGTTGATGAGTCTTCCTCCAATCCTGATGCCACAATTCTCCTCATAGAGCCCAGCCTCCTGGATAATCTATTCTGTACATAGATTGAAAAGGTATGGAGATAGGACACATCTCTGGTGTACAGCCTTCCCAATTTTGAACCATGCAGTATTTTCTTGATCTGTTCTGAAGACTGCCTCCTGGTCCAGGTACAGGTCAGAGTCAGCCCCAGATTGTTGTGATCCACACAGTCAAATGCCTTTGCATAGTCAATGAAACACAGATAGACATTCCTCTGGTACTCCCTGCTTTCAGCCAAGATCCATCTGACATTAACTATAATATCCCTAGTATCATGGCCTCTTCTAAATCCAGGCTGCACGTCAGGCAGTTCTCTGTTGATGTGCTGTTATAGTTGGTTTTGTATAATCTTCAGCAGAACCTTGCTTGCGTGTGATATCAATGATACTGTTTAATAACTTACATGTTCTGTTGGGTTACCTTCCTTTGGAATGGGAACAAATATAGATCTCATCCAGTCAGTTGGCCAGGTCTTCCAGATTTCTTGGCACAACATGGTGAGCACATCCAGGGCAATGTCTGTTTGTTGAAATATGTCAATCCATATGCCGTAAATTCCTACTGCCTTGTTTTTTTGCCAATTTTTCAGAGTAGCTTGAATTTCCTCCTTCATCACCACAGGCTCTTGCTCATATATTGTTTCAAGAAATTCTTCTGTGTCCACCAATTCCTTTTGGTACAATGGCTGTATATTCTATCTTCTTTTAATGCTTCCTGGATCATTTAATATTCTGCTCAAGGTATCCTTAAGTATTGCAACTTGAAGTTTGAATTTGTTCTTCAGTTCATTCAACTTAAGAAATGCTGAGCAAGTTCAGCCCTTTTGATATCTGACTC